TCATAGTTGCTGATTCTCTCTGGTCCTCAGTTTCCACCTCTACAAAGTGAAGGGCCAGCACCGGGATACCCTCAGCATCGAAGGTAGTGTTAAGATTGCCGATTAATTTGCTGCCCCTTGTAATAAAAATGGTGAATAGAAAAGAGTAAAAACATTGACAGACGTGAAAACTCTGGCCCCTCAGTAAAACTCTGCCTTGCGGTCTCTAGAACATAACCTCTAAAATAACCTCTATCCTTTAGGTAAATCAATGGCTTACAAGTCTGCTAATGCTCTTGAGGCAGACACTGTGTCTTCTCTCTAGTCACCAACCCTGGCCTGGCTCATGGATGTTTGATAAATGAATGAATGAATGAAGACTATGGTCAATAGCACCCTGGTTCTAATGATGCCTGGCATTCTGGGTATTATGTAAATCTTGAAATATTTAGGCCTAGTATTGATGAAATCTCATTTTATATTTCTACATGGGTTGGCCTAAGAAAGCATCTCATTAAGACCCTGACTATAAATCTGTATCTTTTTTTCTGTGTGTTTATTTTCTGGATTATGAGTCCTTGTGTTCTTTAGAAGAAAAGTACTCTGTGTAACCTAGGGAGTAACTACTGATGATTTTTCGTGTTTATGGTTTATTAATTAGTCTGGAAAATACTTCCAACCACTTTGCCCTGATAATCTGAGGACACGAGTTTTTTTTCCAAAATCTCCCTCTCTGAGAGGTGTTTTTATTAATGAGGGAAGTGCAGGCAGCTGGCTCTCCTTGGTCTTTATTTTCAGATACCAGCAAATAAAGAGAAATCAAAATCCTTTTCCATTACACTTGAACTGAGAGCAAGTTATTAACTCCATGGATGTTTCTCATAATCCAGAAGTTCTCTTTTTAATTCCTACATGATTTTATTTTCATTAAAAGCATAAATTTGGAATCCCCATAATTACAGGATGGGATTCATAGATAAAGAACAATTTTTTAGACCGTGCCCTAAAATTAGCTATATTACAGCTAGCTATACTTTATCCGTGTGTAAATCATTGGAATTTATGGTGATTTGCGCCCCCTCCAGGTCCAGAATCATTGACTACCAAAGCTGGAGGTCATCCACTCCAGTCCTTTTATTCAGTAAAAACCGATCTGAGAGATAAAGGGATTTTCACTGGAAAAAATTGTTTTGGTCTTTTCCAACAGAAAACATTATAAAGCAAAACAATAATAGAACAGGCTACAAATAGCAAAAGGGTCCAATTATTGTTTTATCTCCCTCCCTAATTTCTCTGCCTCCTTTCAGTTCCCTTGCTATGGTGAAAAGCTCAAAAGATGAGGAGAAAAAGGAAAGAAAGGGTGAAATAAAAACTGGGTTTTTGATTCCTGAAAAATTGAAACTTGTATATGGTAGACAATTTCAGAAGCCACACTTCTGAGACATCAGGCTCATAGCATATTGCAGCAGCCTTTGTGTTTGTTTTTGGATTAATGACCGTCAAGTGGTTAATCACTCGGGTTTTCCTTTTACAGACTAGGAAGAAGGCTCTGGAGCTTATCCAACAGGGTGATCCCAAGGCTGATGGCAGAGTGTTCCTTTCCTCTCTCGTGCCAACTGGATCCAAATGGAGAAGAAACAGCCAAGGCTGCAGGTGACCATAATGGTAGGTCAGGCTCCCCCACCTGCTCTTGGACATGGGCTCCCTTGACCTTGACAGGCATTTGTCACACAAAACTCCGAATCTCTGTTTAGAAACTTTGAGCCCATTTGAGAAAAAATGAAGTGCTTGCATTGCAGTTTTTTGTTTTTCAATTCATTCAACAAATATTTACTGAGAATCTACTTTGTATTGAGAATTGGCCTAAACAGAAAGATGAGCGAGACCCACCATGCTCTTTACAGAGTTAATAATAGAAGGTTTTTTTACCTCCAGAGTGGAGGGCCTTTTGGTTGGTAGAACAACCTGCTTGGGCGCCTGTCCCCATGCTTTAGACCCATCATTCTGTCCTAATAACCACAGGGACATCAATTAGTGGCCACAGATGTTAGTGAAGTGTCTTTTACCAATACATCTTGTTTACTTTCTAAGTGGTGTTTCAACATTACATCATAAACACCAGGTCATACAATTATTATATATATATACAATAACAATTAACGTCATAAAACTCATCTTTTCCAGCCAGAGGTAGACATTTTGAAAGATAATGGGATATTTTAAACTCTTGCAAATAATCCCAGGTGATTAATAACAGGATTTGACAATGTAGTAAAAAATGCTAATTTAATTGTTTTTCTCTCAGTCTCTCATTAGGAAGGAAAGACTAGTCAAATTAGACAGTTGGGGCTTAGTAGCCTGATACTAAATTGATGTAAATTAACAGTAAATATTTGAAAACAGCAGAGGAGATAAAAAAATTTTTTTAAAGCTTGGGTAATTGAATCCTGATTCAAAATGGTATTTAGCAGTTGAATGTAATATACTACCTACTGCTCAGTCTATTATCTATCATTATCTTTTGAACCCTGTAATTGGACAAACAGGAAACTATCCATGATAATAAGTTTGTTCAAAATCATCTGTTTGCTGGAGTCTGGGGCACACACTGCAGTCATAATGAACAGGAGGCAAAACTGCTCACTGTAGCCTTTCCATGGTTCATTCATCTCTGTTACCACAAAGTACGGCAACATACACACCTGGGCAGTCCAAGGCATCTTACCAAAATTATTTTAAAAAATAGTCATTTTTTTCTTGCATTCCATGAACGGGCAACATAACTCTTTATTTGCTGCAAGATGGGCACCATTGAACCTGACCTAGCTCCTGTCCCGGGTGTGGGCAAACAGTTTGCCTCCTGGAATTTCCATTAGATCCAACCACTTAGTTGCTTTATTTATCCTATCACTGGTTTTATTTTTCAGTGATTCTTTGGTCGTTATGCTGCCTCTATCATAGCTATCCAAACATCAGGTCACATAGGGCTCCTGCACACATAGGGCTCCTTCTAAGAGATTTAAATGGAAAGGCAACCCAAGCCATTACTGGTCTATTTTCAGTTTCCATTATCAATAAAACAAGAAACCAGCATTTTCATGCTGTGCAAAACCTTCAGGGAAGTGCAATGCTGCTGTCATTATCTTTAGACCAGTCTGCCATCTACTCCCACTAATGCAGAGGAAATGATGAGTCCATCAGAACGAAAATAAAATGATGAAAGGATCAGAGTCACAGAGCGGCCTGCTGGCCTGGTCCACTGCATGGCTCCCTGCAAATGTCCCTTTGAATTTAGTGGAGCCTAGATGGTAAAAACCACAGGTCACAACGGAACATAAATTCACCTCCTAATGAGATTAGTAGGCAGGCAAAATAAATGTCCTGCTGTTACGTTAGAGGCAGGCTCTAATCTGGTGTTTTCCTTGGAAATGATCATTTCCTTTGCAACAGGGAACCGTGGATGCAACCTGTTTAAATCCGACAGATTCTGTTTTGCCACAGAGCTATTTTTCACCTTGCTCTGTCTTTTTGATAGCAATTTTGAGGAGGCGTTTAAATGAGTTGTGTCTTAAAGACTATTACCAAAGTGAGTTATGGGTGTCTCTGTTCATAATCATCAATCGTGTTTCCCAGATCCCTCTTTTAAGAAAACTTTGTGCAACTTCTCCTTCCCTTTCTAAACAGGAGCCTTGCTTTGGAGGAGGTGTGGTGACCCCCAGGGTCCTCTCACTCTAGCCTTACGAATCAAAGGCCGAATAGACTCACTATTGTATTTGGGGTACTTTTTAAAAATCTTTACCGCAACTTTACTACTTAAAACCACTGGAAACGAGTATCACATACTAAAAAGCCTTAAGAAAATGCCTAGATCAGGTGAACCCACATGGTCTCTGAGTAGAACAAAGCCCTCGAGTATGTAGCTTGATTGCAAGGGACTTCCTTGGTTTTCAGCAGAAGGCAGTCTCACCTGGAGTACAATACCCTCCTCTCATTAAAAATGCAAGATAGGATCTCCTCCTGGATCCTGTCTACAGAGCTTGATGCAAGTTCACGGACTGTACCGTCCTGAGCAGTGAGTGGCATTTAATCAAAGCCTTCTGTGAAATAATCTCAGTGTTTCCCGAGCCCTGTAAATTCACCAAGCGAGTTAAGAGGTCCTTTCAAAAGGAATGGGAGATCCGACTTTGAATTTAGGAGTCTTTGAAGCTTCTGCATAGAAGGTACAGACAATTTAACGGACACATATTTTCTCAACATTTTGTAGGACTCAGGCTAGAGATTCCTCCTCTGTGAAACTGCCCATGAGGAATAATAGATCATTTGCTAGTACCCCAATACATGGCATTTTGACATATTGTTTTTCTGAGGCTGGAAAGAAGCCACAGAAAACTTTTGCACTTGTAATATGCGTTTTACTGTGTATGCAGTGATTTATGAACATTTTTTTCATCTAACAAAACAATTTCCTTTCTGCCATTGGTGCTTCCATTCAAAAACCTGAACTGCAAATCCAACTACTTTAAGGGAGAAATTATCTTTTGGCCCAGGGTTTAACAAATTTTTTTCTTTCAACTTTTCACTTCTCAATAGTTTGAGTTGTATCTCTACTTGTGTATTTTCTATGTATCGAATTTGCAAATGTCAGAGACTTAAGTCAAGCCTCCTCCCATTCTCATAATTTTCTCTGCTCGCTGTTAACTCTCCTTATCAGATGAAAGAGCTCAAGGGAAGATAGACTGATTTTCCATTAGACAGGTGGTCCTGTTTATTGGTGCTCTCTTCCAACTTTTCATTTCCATAACTGTCTCTTCCTTATCCCACCATATCTGTCCTCCACTCTCTGCTGCACCTCTGTGTTTATAATTTAAATTGCAAACAGTAACTGAATCCACTTTGCCAGTGTCCAGTATATCTGGTACGTGTTAATGATTACCTGTTGGCCTCCCATGTATTAAATTCAGAGTTAAAGTTTCATGTTCAACAATCTCCCTGAAGGAATTTCCCAAATCATGTTTGCTTACCTCATACAAATGAACTTGTTCTTGGGTTACAGCAAAGATCAATAATACGTTATTTTGCACCAGTTTATCAATGAGTTGTCCAATTGTTGGATATTCCTAAAATTGAACACAAAGATTTTAAGTATCTTCTTAACAGAAGTATGTAAAATAAAGGAATATCTCTTTCAAAGATATCTTACTGAGTTTGGCATTTTCAATTCTCACAGGCATTACTGTGTCTATCACTCCAAGTAAACAAGTACACAATTAGCATTATTTTCTTAATTGGTTTAGTAATTGTTTCCTAGATATTGTAAGTCGACTTAATTTCTTAGAGTCGGTGCCTGTCAACGTGGTGTATTATGCTCTGTCACTTCCAAGGAGATCACTAAATTCATCTAAAGACTTACAGTGTGTCATCTTTTCAAGGGTAGAGATACATGTCTTTTTCTAAGTGCCACTTGCCTGCAGGCAAATATTGGAGGGAATGTTAGAATTGAGAGAGGGACCATGACTATGATGAAGGTGACCGAGGTGACTCTTGCAGTTCTGAAACTCTGACTGGAATTGGATGGGGCGGGATGAGGGTTGCGGAAGGACCAACCTGCTGAGGAAGCACACACTGCCACTCCTAAATCCCTCTGACTTCAGATATTCCTGTACCAGCTCTCCAGTTTGGTCTTACTGCCTTTTTGATGTCACGAATTGACTTTATGGGATGCTGCAATATTTTTACAGGGCAATTGAAAAGCCATTGTATTCAATTTACTTCTGTTCCATTGATACATTCATTCCTGAGTGATACAAGTACTTTAAAATATAAAGTCATTAATTATCATATTTGCAGATGACCTTTACTTTCCAAGCCTGGAAAACCTGGAGCACGTTTGCCTGGCGTATGACTCCAAATGTGAATAATGGGCAAAAAGACCCTCAAATGAGGGAGTGGCCTGCAAACAAGGGAACTAAGAATACCATGTGGCTTATGACTGCAGTCAGCCAAAGTGCAGGAACACTGACGAATACGCCTTCTTGCACACGAATGTGGTGTGTTCATATATTCTCAGCGCTTCTGGAATATTTTTGTCTTCAGCCACAAAATTAAAGTTGAGGGAAAAGTATAGTTTTGCCTAAGATACTCAGGTCAATTACCCAACTGCAAATCTGGCTGTGTAATGCGTGCTTTCTATCCCATTTGGATTTTTATTAGTGGATATTAGCAGAATCCAGATACTATCTATAAAGCTTTCTGAGTCTGACATTCTCAGTCTCTGTGTTTCAATTGCCCAAACATTAAGTATCCTTCAACCTTAAGCCTGAGGTCCTCCAATGCTGGTCCCTACTTATCTCCAGATGTTCTCCAAACTTTCAACTGCTGTGCCTGTGTAGCCAGGATGGCACCACGTAGCCCTCCATAGGCGGGTGAATACGGTTCTCTATTCGATCCAGATCTATTGATTTAATTCCCACAATTATATTCTAAGTTCCTCAAGGCCAGGGATCGTGTCCTGTTATTTTGCGGCCCCAGGAGCCTGGCCCAGCGTTGAGAGCATAGAAAGTGCTCAGAGGACCCGGGGGCTATGTTGCAGGCAGGGAAATAGCCCATGGCTCTGTGCATTGTAGCAACTTACTCAATAAGAATCACTTGAACATGTATTAGAGGAGATGGTCATATTAGGCAACAGGCAGTATTTGCTTCTGTGATCCTGCTTTTTTTCTGAGACGGCTATTATGGGGCACTTGAATAGTTGCAAGAAAAAAGTAATAAAAAAGGGATACACTTCTCATAGTTTATTACCCCTCATTGGCTAAAAGACAAAATGTGGCTACCCTCACTAACCCTGTAATATGGAAGGACAACCGATATAATTAAAAATATATAAATTTGGTGAACACTATTGATCAAAAGTTAGGTAGAAACAGCCATGTTGAAGTTTAGAAATTTAGGTCAAGAAATGATAGCAGATAATTCATGAACCATTAGATTTTTTAAAACTAATTGCCAGCATTGTGGTAAGCATTTCTGTACATTATCTCACTAAATTCTTCTTTTAGAGGATAGTTTTTCCAATCTGATATTAGAATCCTGGGCTCTCTTCCCTCTTTCTTTCTCTCCCCTACACACACTTTTACAGCATTGTCATTTTACAAAGTCACTTAAATTCTCTGTACCATTTTTTCCCCAAGTGTTAAATGGGGATAATATGACCTTTCCAGGTTGCTGCTTCATAATTCAATTCTATTTTTAGTGTGTTCCAGGCACTGTGCTGTCAGCAAATAGAGATAATAAACCAGTTCTGGTACTGAGGATGTATGTTAAAGACAGACAGAAACCAACAAGCACATTTCTGTATGGCGATGGCCAAGAAGCCAACTATGTATGAGAGCCAGGGGAGAGATGATCACTTTGGGGCCCAGTGGAGGTCAAACAGGGTCCTCCCCGTCCCCGGAGCAGTCATGATCGAGCTGGGTTTTAAAAGATCAGTAAGAGTTTCTCAGCAGCCTTGGAGGAAAGGGCATTCCAGACAGAGGGAATGACACATGCACCAGCGTGGCAGCCTCAAGGTCTGTTCAAGGGAAACAATTAGACACATAGGTTTCTGGTGAGGATCAAATGAGATCATGTACATCAAAAGGGCTCTGAAATTTTTACCTTGTTTTACAAAAGTCAAGTGTTTTTTTTTTTTTTTCTTTGAATGTCACGAGCATTTTTTAAATGACGAAAATAAGCCAAATTTAATAAAACACGAGCCAAGAAGCACCTGACTAGTGGTTTCCCAGGGAGTCCCAGGGTCTACGAAAACATGGAATTATTGAGGCAGCATGACTCTGGGACCATCATTTCAAACAACTCCTAGGTGACTACTGTTCTGGTCTGAGCCTTCCTTTCCAGGACTATGGTTCAAACAGAATGAGCTGACTGTATTACATTTTGCTGGCCTTGGGCTCTTTGAAAAATTGGGGAGGTTCCGGGATCATTCGTCCTATAGCAAATCTGAACTTATCACACATCGCCACCGCCCATCTGTGCTCTTGAGGGAACCTCTAAGGGAGATGAGGATTGAGAAAGGCCAATGTGTTAAATCTCAAATCAGAAAATGTTCACCGCTTCAACCAAGGGTGGGTTACTCTGCTATGTATTACAGCAATTGTTGCTCCATTCGCCTACTTGTAGCCCTGCAAACAGCGTAGAGTATAGGTTACACACCAAGACTGTTGACATGGAGTATTCATTCTTGCTGTCCAAGTGACAGAGCCCGTCGTTAGGAATGACGATGCCTGCCAGTTTGCTGTCCATTCCAAAATGAGAGTCAGCATCGCTCACAAAGACCAGGAGATGGAGGGAGTCGTTACGCCAGCCAATTTTTTCCTACAGTGAGAAAGAAGCATTTGGCTTGTATGGGAGAGGGGAGACGTTTATTGAGAGTGGATCAGTTATGCTTGGACACATTCAGATTATTAAAATATATATTGCTGCTCAATCTATTTTAGACTTTCTCATCTATTGTGAGTTGGTAATATTAACATATTAAAGACATGAAATCCTGTGACCTTTGCTTGATCCTGGATTACATTTTCAGATGATTTATGCTTCAGAAAAAATGGTTCACTACAATCAGTATCCAGTTGATCTTGACATTTACACAGTTAATTATTTTTACTGTCCAGTTTTCAATTTACCAGAAAAATGACAGAAGGGAGTGAGAGAGGTCATAGATTATCCCAAATCCAAGCTGAAGCAGAGCTAGTAAGAATGCAATACAGAATGGACCCAAAGTAAGCCTGTTTTATTACAATTTCACCCAACCTGTAGGCACCTATTTCTCTTTCTACTGATATCATCCAAAAATTATAAACATAATACAAGGATAAAAACTGCTTATCAAAGTATGACTGCAGAGTACTGTTAATTAAGATGGTCTGTTTTCTGTCTCTTTGCAGAGCTCTCCCCTTTAATTAAGATTAGTCAAGGAACTAGTTGGACAGAAGCTCATCGTAGCTGCCCCATGGTACCTTATCTTTTTCCCTCCTTCCTTAATTCTTTGGCCCTCCCATGTTCTAGGACCTTTGGCCCTATCTGTTTCCTGATATTTTCCATGAAGACTGTCATCTGAAGACAGGGGAATCGTTCCCATGGATATGGGTCTGATTGTCAAGGAGAAGAGGTATTCTTGCATTGTCGTAGAGACACTGTGGCCTCTGACGCTTATTTTGTTGTTCGAAACAATAGATATCTGATCATATGTAGACGTTTATTCTGAATCAGAGCATTTTTACTTTTTTTCATTAATTGTTGTCTTTGTTTTTTTTCTTTTTTTTCACCATGGTTAATTCAAAAACTAATGAACATGATTTGGATCTTTGAAAATTAATCATACATGACTATTCTTTTAACCAATTTTCCCCAACTGTACTACAATGTTATTAGACTATTTGAATATTAGGCATAAAAAATTGTCCCCGTTTCAACATGATGGAATTTAAAAATGTACAAAAATTTTAAGTATCTGTTGTAGAAATACGGCGATTAAAGGAAAGATAAAGTTAGCTAAGCTTTTCAAAGGAGATTTGTTCACAAGAGATGAAATATGTGTCAACAGAATGAAACACTGCTCCCCTCAGCATACCTTACATACAGCAGCTTGCATAATTGCATCAAATCCACCTTCTGGGGTGTCAATATTAGCAGAAATTTTCTGATTCTTCACAATTTCATTGAATCTTTCTGCATCATTTGTCAACGGCAAAATGTGCTTGAATCCAAATGTAGGTAAACAAATGTATGGAATACTACTGCAAAAGGAAGATGTAAAATGTTCTTGAAATATGATACAACGCACAATGAATGGGTTTAATAGCCTAACAACATTTCCTTCAATGAAAATGCATTTTTCTAAAGTGCCCAACTCCGTAACTTGGCTGTGAGTCTCACTGTTAAGGTTGTTTTCATCATCTCGCACCCAGCCCTTCCAAACTGGCCACATTAGCTAACACTTAGAGCTTGCTGTGTGTCTTGCATTGGTTCAAGCACAGAAAACAGATAATCAGGTGATCAGACTCCCCGTGTGTGTGTGTGTGTGTGTGTGTGTGTGTGTGTGTGTGTGTGTGTGTAATCACTACCTTCTACTGCCTCTCAACCAAAATCCACCATTAAGTTTACATGATGACAACAATTCCTTTGTATTTTGATAGCTTAAACTGTCACCAAGGATGAGTCTCCCTGTAGCAAGACTGAGAGAGGAACCTGTCTACTTCGTCCTCTGCTCAGTCCTGCCTGCCCAGGGCCTGAAAATCAGAGCAAGGCTCTTGATTCTAGAGCCCAACTTTATTGTGATAGAACAGACTATTGTGGACAAGCCTGGGGTAAAACCACCACTAAAAACAGTTTACCTGTGAGGAAAATGCCATGTTAGGATGAGATCTGCCCTAAAGACATCACAGTAGAACAGAAATTGCTAATCCTGAAGCAGGCACATTTTATTCTGAAAGCCAGCTAGTAGCTGTGCATGAGACTTTGGGCAAGTTACTCAACCCTTCTGAGCTTTAGATTTTCCTTTGTAAAGTAGACATAAATAACATAGAGCAGAGATCCTCAAAGTGTGGTCCCTGGACCAGCCACGTGAGCATCACATGGGAACTTGTTATAAATGCAAAATCTGGGGTGTGACTCCAGACCTGCTGAATCAGAAACGTTAGGTGTGGACTCAGAGACCTGTGTTGAGCCAAGTCTTCCTGATGCATTCCAAAGTTTGAGAAGCATAGGTGTAGAAACACAGAGACAAAAAGGAGTAGCCCCCAGTGAGGCTGTGGTATGCTTCTGAGGAGAGCTGGTTGACTTAGGTGAGCATCTTTGCAAGTTCAACAGCCTGTCTTGTCAGCATACAAGGAGCTGATGCATCTTTGAGGAGTAGGCTCTTTTTCACCATAGTCATCTGCTTGAGGTATACAGTCAATTCTCATTATTTACAGATTCCATATCTTTGAAAATCCATATTGCTAAAATGTATTTGTAACCCCCAAATCAGTCCTTTCAGTACTTTCTCTGTCATTCGTGTACGTGCACAGAGTGACAAAAAAGCTGAGTCGGGCTTCCCTGGTGGCACAGTGGTTAAGAATCTGACTGCCAATGCAGGGGACATGGGTTCGAGCCCTGGTCCGGGAAGATCCCACATGTCACGGAGCAACCAAGCCCGTGCGCCACAACTACTGAGCCTGCGCTCTAGAGCCCACAGGGCACAGCTACTGAGGCCCACGCACCTGGAACCCGGGCTCCGCAACAGGAAGAGCCACCACAATGAGAAGCCCGCGCACCGCAAGGAAGAGTAGCCACCGCTCGCCACAACTAGAGAAAGCCCGTGCACAGCAACGAAAACCCAATACAGCCAAAAAAAAAAAAGAGTTGAGTCACCTGATATGAGACGTATGTTTCCAGCTGAGGTCAAATAAGACAGCCTTCTTGTTCCAGCTCTCATACTGTAAACAAATGTCCTTTTTGTGGTCTATCTGGTGCCATGGGTTTTTTTTTTTTTTTTGCATTTTTATGCTTTTTGGGTGATTTTGCTGTTTAGAGTGGCCCCCAAGTGTAGTGCTGAAGTGCTGTCTGGTGTTCCTAAGTGCAGGAAGACTGGTGTGTCTTATGGGGAAAATACACGTGTTAGCTAAACTTTATTCTGGCATGAGTTACAGTGCTGTTGGCTGTGATTTCAACATTAATAAACCAACAATATATATTAAATAAGATGTCTTTAAATAGAAACACACAGAAAACAAAGTTATGTATTGCTCAGTCGGTGAAATGTGACCAGAGACTCGTAGGAACCTAACCCTGTGTCTCCCCTAGGAGAAATGCTCAGCATTCTCTAATGCAGTTGTTGAAGAGAATTTACAGAACAAGACTTCCGTAAATGATGAGAATCAACTATATATATATAAGTCAGAGTGACTAGGGATTTGTTTACACTGAGAAATGAAGCTCTGCCAGAACCAGAATGCTGGTGTCTGCAAGGATAATCATTTACTTCCTGTCAGTAGATTTTCACAAAAAGTAGGTCATAATCTGATGCGTCCTCAGATTTCAGAACAAGAGGGGGTTAAAGATGGCCAGCACTGAATGGTACAGTCTGAGATGTCCCATTTTCTTAATGGGGTATTTTTTTATTTTCTAATGATTTTAAGAACTCTATCTCTAAATAGTATTAAACTTTTGTCTTTGTAGTTTGTTTTTAAATTTTGTTTACAGTGTTTTTTGGATATATACATTAAAACTTTTTATGTAGTCGATTTTTTCCCACCTTCAAATATGAATGTATTTTGAAATGTGAAATGAGGAATTAAAAAGAAAGTTAACCTATTAAATGATAATAATGTACCATTTGTCCTAATTGCTCCTGTAGTATGTAAAGCAGCTACAGGGTAGAAGAAAATGCCATTAGATTTAGAATAAAAAGACTAAATAGTTTTCCATCTTTGGGCAAGTTACTTACTCCGGACCTCAGTGTCTTTATCTATAAAATGAGGGTGATAATAATAGTTACTTCACAAGGTTGTTGTAAAAATTACATAAAAAGTATTTTATAAAAAGTATATAACTGTGTGAAGTATACCATTGTCCCTGGAGCCCAACTAGTCTGGGAAATGTTTTGTTTAATCTTTTATTTGGGGGTGTTGGTTCACACTGTACCAAAATGGCATTTGAGAATCTTCTGGAGCCAGAGAACTAGTATTCCTATCTTTCGGTAAGAAATTTGCATTTTTGTTGGTTAGAATTATTTGCTATGTAGTTCTTACTAGAACTCTAATCTTTTGGGAAGGGGAATACATTTATTTAATTCAATAAACATATTCATGTGCTGGGAGATGCATGAAGCTAAAGCAAAGCAGAACGTCAGAGCTGGGTCACACCAGAAAATTTTGACTGGAGGCTGCCCATTTTGGTCAAAGTTCTTCCTCCAACAAATGCTTATATTTGGTTGTTATTTTCTAAGGTAGAAATTGAAGGAACTACTCATTGCTGAATAACTTGATTTTGAGTCCCTAGACAACAATAGATTTGCATTTAAAATGCATTCAAATTTAAAATTGTAAAACACAATATAAAAAGTGCTACTTATATTTTTATTAAAACTTTAAATAAAATTCATAAAATAAGACTATAATGATATATACTAAAAGGTTAACACCATCTTTTTTGAGCGGGATTAGAAATGATTTCCATTTTCTTCTTTTTGTCTGTATTCTCACTTGGGCTTGTTATTAAAAATTATATTATATACTCATATATTTTTTTTGTGTGTACATATAGGAAATCTAAGCATTTCATGGTTCAGTTATCTCTTTTGCAAAACTACAATGAATTCCTCACTTCAAGTCTTCAAAAACAAAACAAAACACCAAATCAAACGTGAAATGATGTTTAAAAAAAAAAATCCCTCAAAATGTTCGATGGAGAAAATTTTATCTTTGTGCTGTTAAATATTTTTAAATGCATATTACAATTCATTCCAAATAGGAAAATGGAGAAAATATGGTTTTCCTTGATGTTTCTTAGACAGCAGCATAAGAGAAACTTCTTTCAAAAACGTAAACCATTCAGGCTTCTTACGTGGTGAAACGAATTTTTAGTGACTTTCCATCTAACGAAGATAAAGAAAGCAAAAGCTACTTCAAAAAGCACTAGAGACCAGATTAAAGCTGAGGTTTTAAAAGTGTGGTGTGCAGACCCACAGAGGTCCCTGACACCTTTTCAGAGAGTTTTTCAGGTCAAACGTTTTTCATAATAATAAGAGATGTTATTTGTCTTTTTCACTGTTGACATTTTCACTGATGATGCAAAGCAATGGTGACTCAAACTGCTGGTGCCTTAGCACAGATCAAGGCAGTGGCACCAAACTGCCTAGTATTCCTTATAATTTTTTTTTTAAATGCTAGTTTCACCTGATTGTCCTTGATAAAGCAGTAAAAGATATTAATTTTATTAAGTCTACACCCTTGGATACGTGTTTTTAAAAAAATATTTCTGTGTGACCACATGGGGAATATGCATACGGCATTACTGCTGCACGTTGAAATACATGTTTATAGTGGAAAAACACTTGCGATTGTTTGAACTGAACTGGCCTATTTTATGGAACAATCATTTGATCTGAAAGCCAAACTATCATTCCAACTTAAGTTTTTGGCAGACATGCTCTTAAAAATGAAGAAAAAATAAGCCTGCTAATTCCAGGAAAACGACTATCAGTATTTGTTGCCAAATGATGAAATCTGAAGTAACTAGAAAATTAGAACTTCAGAAAATTATCATCTGCCACCCATGGCTTAACGGCTTCCCAATACTTAAAGATTTATCTGATGGGATTAATGATGATATTAACAAATATGATTTTTTTAGATATTATATCATGAAATTTGGAAGATCTACATAACTCACTGAAACTTCACTTTCCAAATGACCAAAGCGTTATATTACAAAACCACGTGCACACACACGCACACACACACACACAGACACACACACACACACACACCAGTAAAAGAGCGATTCAAAGTGCTAAACAGACCAATGGTTTTTAATGTAACAAAATATGAAGTTCATTGATACTTTTTCAGATTCCACATTGAAAATAAATTTACCTCTTGTACAGTTTGAATGTAATATCAAAGAAGAATGTCTACAGTTATTGGAAAAATCTATTAATTGCTTCTCCCTTTTCCAACTGTATATCTGTGTGAAGTTTGACTTTCTTCATGGAATTCAACCAAAAAAAAGTATTACAACAGATTAAACGGAGAAGCAGGTATGAGAATCCAGTTGTCTTCTTTTAAATCAGATATTTTAAGAGATTTGTAAAAATGTAAAATAGTGCCACTCATCTTGTTAACTTTTGTTCTGTTTTTGGAAAATGTAGTTATTTTTCCTAAAGGTGTGTTATTATAGTAATATGCAGTATATTTTTCATTGTAATTATTAAATAAATTGATAAATAATTATTTTTATATTTTCTTAGTTTTACATTCTAAGACACTGAATATTGATAGGTATAAAGCTCTTTTGGAGGTCTTAATTTTTAAGAGTCTAAGAGAGTCCTGAGATCTAAAAGTTTGAGGACCGTTAGACAAAAATAACTAGAGAAAATAAGTGTTAATGAGAGAAAAAAATTAAAACTGGTTTTGAATGTCTGTTATGTTCTGAGCCTATTCAGCTCTCATGATTAGCCCAGGAAGTGAATATTATTATCCTCATTTACAAATGAAGAGATGGGAGCTCCAAGGTTATGATTTAAGCCCAGGTCTGGAAAACGCCATGCTCTTTTCTCTTACCTCTCATTGCCTTTGTACTAAAGAACATTTTATTCCATAATTATAAGGTTTGGATTGATCAAAGGATTGACTTCTGTGTTTGGTGTTTGGGTTCTTGGTGGGTAAATGTGTGGCGAGTGGAATCTGGACAGAGAAACTGGGACAATTAAGGGCGTGATTAGAAAGGAAAAAATATAATGTTGCAGCAAAAAAGAACTCATTATTTACAACTTTAGCTAATGGTAAATTTTGCCAACAAGAATAAAAGAAAAACCTCTATGAAATAGGAAGACGCTGACCTTTCAAGAGCTTAAATACGAGATCCTCCTTTGGGTTCCCGTTCACCGAACGTTGGGCAGTGCTCTGGCCTCCCTTTACCCCACTCTGTTGGTGTTGATAGTAGCTACCACCTACTGAGAGCTTCATGGTCAAGCCCAATATCAAATGATTCCTTTCATTATCTCACCCACTCCTTACAACCCCTCTGTGTGATCAGTATTATTATTCCAAACTAAAGCTCTGAGAAGTGAAGCGGTTTCCCTAAGGTGACATTATGAGTGAGCAGATGAATGGTTACCTGGTAACATGGGTGTATTCAAGGGATCAATGGAACAGAATAGAATGTCCAGAATTAGACACACATACAGTCAATTGCTTTTTAACAAAGGCATCAAGATAATTCAATGGGGAAAGGAAAATCCTGCTTAACAAATAGTGCTGAAACAATTGGATAGTTGCATGTAAACAAAAGATAGACCTAGACATTTTCCTCATTCCAAACAGAAACACTAATTTGAGATCATAGACCTAAGTGTAAAAGCTTCAACCACAAAGCTTCTAGAAGAAAACAGAGGAGGAATCTTTGAGACGTTAGGATAGGCAGAGATGTCTCAGGACAAAAAAATACACTAATCATAAAACTAAAAATTGATTAACTGGACTTCATCGAAATTAAAAACTTGCTTGACCAAAGACATTGATAGAAAAATAAAAATACAATCCACTGTCTGGGAGGAGATATCTGCAAAATATATTTGACAAAGAACTTTTGTCCAAATATACAAAGAACTTATACAATACAATATTAAGAAGAAAATCTAATTTTTAAAAATTGGAAAAAGATTTGAAAAGATACTTCACAAAATAAGATATGAGAATGGGAAAAAAATACATGAAAAGATGTTCAACATCATTTGTCATTAGGGAAATGCAAAGTAAAGCTACAATGAGATACACACCTATTAGAATGGTTAAAACTAAAAAGACTGAAATTACCAAGTATTAACAAGGATTTGAAATAAATGGAACCCTCACACGTTGCTGATGGAGATGCAGAATGGTACATCCACTTTGGAAAACAATTTGATGGCTTCTTAAAAAAATTAAAACTATACTTATCATACAATTCAGCAATTCTAATTCTAGGTATCTATGCAAGAGAAACAAAAACATACATCCGCACAAAGACTTATATGCAAATGATCATAGCAGTATTTTTTTCATGATCACCAGAAATTAGGAAACAACCCAAATGTCCATCAATAGATGAATAAATAAAGTGTAGTATAATAAATTCATACAAGGGACTATTACTTAAAACAAAAAGGAGCAAACTACTGGTGAACACAAAATCAGGGAAGAATCTCAAAAACATTATGTTGAGCAAAAGAGCCAGGCACAAAAGGTATATACCATTTTTTTCCATTCATATGAAATCCAAGAATAGGCAAAACCAATCTAACTGATAGAAATCAGAAAGTGGTTGCCTCTGGGGAAGCAGAACTGACTGTAATGGGGCATAAGGAAACTTTGTGTGGTGATGGAAATGTTCTATGTCATGTTTTAAGTGGTGCTTACATTGGTATATTCAACTGTCAAAACTCATGAAACTGAACATTTCTGCTGTGTGTATTTTAGTACCTGTCAATTATACCTCAAGAATGGGGGCTGGGAACAGATATTATCTCTGATATTTGCAACCAAACACAATTCCTAAGAGTTGCAATCAGTGATGAATTCTTTTCAAGGTCAAAATATTTTGGGGGCTTCCCTGGTGGCGCAGTGGTTGAGAGTCCACCTGCCGATGCAGGGGACACGGGTTCGTGCCCTGGTCTGGGAAGATCCCACATGCCGCGGAGCGGCTAGGCCCGTGAGCCATGGCCGCTGAGCCTGCGCGTCCGGAGCCTGTGCTCCACAACGGGAGAGGCCACAACAGTGAGAGGCCCGCGTACCTCAAAAAAAAAAAAAACAAAACAACAAAAAAAAAAAAAAACAAAACAACAACAACAACAACAACAACAACAACAACAAAAAAATATATATATATATATATATTTTTCTTTTCTTTTCGCTGTCAGATTCTAGTTGGGAATCGCATTGAAATGTCTTAAAACGATACTATAAAAACTGTCTTCTATAGAGATTGATTCCTTGGGTGTATACTAGTGTTCAAAGTCAGTGTATGTTTGGAAAGCCATTTAACGTATACCATATTTATAGGAGTAAAGGGCTTGGCTTTGGACGAGCCCAGATCTTGGTACAGATCACTGATTAGTCAGGTGGCCTCAGGCAAATTACTAACCTCTCAGAGCCTCTGTTACTTCCTCTGAGTATAGGGATGATGAAGCCTGCTTTGACCTGAAGCTATTATGAAGATTGAATGAGGTTATCTATGTAAAATCTTTAGCATAGGGTCTGGCACAGAGCAAATGGAAGCTCTTTTTCAATAGAAGGATATCAAATAATTTTATTTTGACCATGTCGTTGATATGTACAGGTAAGTCATCTCAAAGCAACTTGCCCTTGACCATCACCTGGATAATACATGGTTTTAGTAGCCGATCAGAGCATATTATAATGGAGTCATTGCCTAATTTCCTAATGAATTTGACAACAGTGAAGGCTACAAAGGGCTTTTCCAAGCAACAAGAGAAATTCACATTTCCCAAAGTATATCAGAGGTAGCTACAAAAGCTGTTATTTTGGCTGCAATCATTGGAGTGGAGACATATACTCTGAGAAAGTGTGGGTTACTGTCAAATAGCCTCAGAGAGTGGTGGTCATTGAGGATAGAAGGCCTCTGAGGGGCTGGGGTAGGGCTCAGGCCAGTGGAACCTGCAGTGAAAGACTTGGTCCGCTTGTCTGCAGAGCACAAAGCCAAATTTGTCACAGACCAACCTCCGCAGCGAGACAGATGCTGCAGATGCTGTGAGGACCCAAGCTAGAACCAGGTATTAAGTTGACTTCCCCTTGGCTCTGAAAACCTAGGCAACTGAGAGCTGCAGAGATCCAACCGGATGGGAGGGAACTGCCAGCCACTTAGCAAGCTCCTACAGCTCAGAGCAGGGCCGGCTCTACAGGAAATCAGTGTTCAAAGATGCCAGAAAATCATTTACTTACCTGCAAGGGTTGGCGATTTCTTCTGGTGTTGTTTTCATAAAAGGGGAGATGGGTTTTTCTACAAAAGAGCCGAAGCCCAGTCTAAAGTTGCTAGTTAATTTAGACATCTCCTTGGAAAGCAGGGAGCCTAGCTCTTTGATTGTGTTGAGGTCATCATCCATGGAGGCTGAGAGGTCCATGAGGTAATACAAGTCCACCGGGTAATCCTCGGTCTGGCGAACTTGAACTTGCAGAGTCTGTTCACTGCCTGCACCACCCCCGCAAGAAAAGCGAATCATAAAAACACATGGAGACTTCTTTGTGACTAGGCAATCACTGGCTGCTTCATTTCAATAAGAACTTACTGAAGATACTTACAATTTCATACACTGTGTCGTAAAGTTTATAAATGAACAAACCCATGAAAATCTTTCAGCAGTGAATTTAGAGTAACTGAAGGAGGTGAAAGTTAGGATATTTTATATCTCCTTGGGAGAACTAGCATCCATTTAGATGGAAGATAAGCTGAATTTTTGTGTGTGTGTGTGTGTTTAGAAAAGAAGAAAATAAAGAGGAGTTTAAAGCTACATTACAACCCTTGAAGAAATGTGAGGTAAGCCTTAGCAACATTTGAGTAATTCAGATGGTTACTATTAGATAAGGCTCTTTTTGGTAACACATTTGGAGTGCAAAGTGACCAATGTGAATAAAGAAAAGTGTTAGCCTAGCAACTCTCTATTTCCTTAAGAATGGGAAATCTGAGTCATCACAAACAATGATATGTAATATGGTACAAGGTGTATTAATGGAATAACAGTATTACTACATGTGATGTTAGATTTATTTACATGAGCCAGTGAGTGTGTAAATCATAACATACCTGGTCTCAGTTTAAGAGCTAAGTTTTGAGGGGCAATCTGAACGATGCTGGAACTATTTTTCTGTCTGCCTACACTGAGAGGCTTATTTAGAAGTATTTCTACTTGGGAGACAGGGTTTTCGATGAAGGTTAGTTGACATCCTTTAGCTAAAAGATTTGCTGGAGTATCACACCTTTCTCCAACTCCAGATAGATGGGTAAAATTCTAAAAAAAAAAAAAAAAAAAAAAAAAAAAAAAAAAAGATAAAAAAAAAAAAAAAAAAAAAAACAATAAAGAGAAAAAGATGACAATAAAGACAAAAAAGAAGACATTTCTTATGATTACTTTTTGCTTGCTTTCTAGTTAGGCATCTTGTCATAGTATACCATATCCCCACATGCCTGACATTGATTGTAGGTCTTAAGTTATAGCAGAATAACCAGAGAATTCTGCCAGTAAAATTGGAATTTCATTTAATTATATTCAGGAGAATTCACTGAACAGCTTTCTTTTTTCTTTTTTCCTTTTCTTTTCTTTCTTTCTTTTTTTTTTTTTTTAAATGCTCACTCCTTTACAACGTCTCCTGTGCTGTGACCAGGTCCTTGAAATAGCCGGGTCATAGAGTTGACATCATCGTGTGAATTATCTGTTCAGGGTAAACTGTAGGTCTGTGGAATCCTGGGACTGTCCAGACTCTCAGTGTGTCTATTACCAAATCCAGTGACAAAGAGCTTTTTCTGTGGCTTCCTAAAGGGCAAAGATTGTGACATCTCCCTATCTACTCTCTGTCCCAGTTTAATTTATGGATATATTTACCCTTCTATTACAGTATTGCTTCACTAAAGTTGACCTCTTGGGGACTTGAAACTCAGGGTCTTAAAGTGTTCCAGTTTAAGGTCTTTTAGAAATTTCTCCAACATTTGGATGTGGGGAAGGGAAGGGAAAGA